GCGGGTGCCAGAGGTGGCACTCAGAGCCCTCTCTGTGGGCACGCGTGCCATCGCCCCAGCCAGGCCCAGACCATCATTAAAGTGTCAAAATCTCTGCCAAATAATTTTAAGTAAATGAAAGCATTTGGGATTGCTTTCCTTACTTTGTTTGGATCATCTTAAGTTAATGTATGACTTGTTTTTTCTAAAGTAAAACCTCAGTATTCAGGTTAAATTGCTGTGTTGGCACTTTGCGATAAATAAGTGGGTTTTGGGTTGCAGTTTGGGTACTCGGTCTCTAAAAGGTTCGCCATCACTGCACTACACCAAACTGGCTTATTCAAATTGTTGCAGAATGTTGGGATTTCAAAATGCAGAACACAATATGAATGCAGGAAAATGTAACATGCTCAGTCAGACTAGTAGTATGTCAATCCCAGTTGTATGGCCTTGAATTGGCAGCTCTCCAGGATCTCAGGCAGAGAAAGATATTTTCCAGCACTTGCTACCTGAGATATTTTGGACATGCCCAGACCTGAACCTTGGCCTTTCAACTACAGAAACTATGCACCCTACCACTGAGTATTTTCTTCTCCAGACCTTTGACTGCTGATTTTCAGTTGATGCCCATAAGACACATTTGGCGTTGTCTGAGGTAGAATCCAGGGTTTGGCTGGGTTGTCCCTTGGCCTGTCATTTATTAAGAGTTCTCATTTTTTGAAACAGTAATATGCATTACATGCATGTACTTCACGAGCCAGAGGGTTTCTTACTCCCTCGATTGCATGTATGCCAGATCTGAGAAGCTCCAGCGTCTCAAGACCTCCCTGGCTCAGTGGCAGAGGACCTGCTTTGCATGCTAAAAGTCCTAGGTTCAATTCCTGGCATTGCCATTTACAAGATCTCAGCGGCAAGGCTGGGGAAAACATTTTCCTGCCTGAGACCCTGCTGGTTACAGCAGACAATATTAAGATAGATGACCTGACTGTCTGATACTGTCTAAAGCAGCTGTAGTCATTCAGTAGAAGGGCTGTCACAGTAAATCTATGGCAGCAAAAAAAGAATGTTTTGACAATTCAGAGCATATCACATTTTTATCCATCCCACCCTTTCACAGAGCTCAGGGCTGCAGATATGGTTCTTTCTGCCTTTCTCCCCTGTATCCTCATAACTACCCTGCCAGATAGGCTGAGAAAGAGATTGGCTCAAGAGAATGCAGAGTGGAGATTTATTCCATTTATTCATACCCTTTACTTCCCAATAGGAGTTCAAAGTGGCTTACACCAGCGCCCTCACCTCTTTCATTTTATCTTCCCAACAACAAGCCTGTGAGGTAGGTTAGCTGGAGGGAGGGGGAGAGAGAGGGAGGAAGAATGAATATGACTGGCCCAAAGTCAGCCAGTGCACTTTCATGGCAGGGTGGGATTTGAAACTGGGTCTCCAGGTTCCTCCACAGACACACTAACCCCTACACCACGACTGGCTCAGATTTCTGCAGTCCTGCTGAGACAACTATTCTTTAGGTAGCAGTGATCAGTTCCTCTGGAAAAAATGGTGGACTCAGTGTCATTATACCCCTGCTGAGGTCGCCACAGCAAATTGACACTGAGTGTCCAAGGCTGGGGCACTCGCCCAGAGCCCTTTTCTAGAGATCGTTGTATTTATTTCCACAACGGGCCTTTTTCCTAGTAACTAAATAATACTGAGCAATTATTAAGTCAGTAGATCACACTGGCCAGAGGAGGCACTGCAATGGATGAAATGTTTGAGATCTCATCCTTGCAGGGCAGAGACCCCCAGGTTGTGCCTCTTCATTTGCTCTCCAGCTGGTACTTTTCACAACAGATGTGTGCGGAGGGTGCATCACTGTTGTGTCTACTGCTTATCGCTCCTTCCTGTCGCTCACACTCAACAAAGATTTGTCCTGTGGGCTGCACTTGGCTGTTGCCCAAAAAAACCAGAGTGAGCAAACACCAGCAGCCTTAGTTAAGCCAGTTTTTTTATTTTCTGTGAAAAACAAAAGGGGCTGACTGGCTTAGGGACCCAGACAAATTGCCAGAACCCCTTTCAGATGGTACAGTCACCACACCTCTTCGCCCTCATACCAAACTAGCTCCATGGTATACCTCGGAGCTACGGCAGATGAAATGAGAACTAAGACGACGAGAGAGAGGGTGGCGGTGAGCTCGTGACAAAGCTACAAGAACATCCTATAGGTCGATTATGAAAACCTATGAGATGGCAGTGAAGGCTGTGAAGGGAAATTTCTACGCAACCTCCTTGGCATCTGCTAGCTCTCGCCTGGCCCAATTGTTTAGAACTATTCGGTCACTGATTACTCTGCCTCAGGGCACACCAAATGCTAGGGAACTGGCTATTGGCTGTGAGGCATTTGTGAGCTATTTTGCGGATAAGGTCTTGTCGCTCTGCCGCAACCTCCCGGCCACAATGGATACAATAAGTGAACTGGAAGCCCATTGGCCGTCTTCAGGTCGAGTTTTGGACCCCTTCAGTCTGCTCTCCCAGGACGAAGTTGACAGGATCCTGGCAGCTGTGAGGTCTACTACATGCCTCCTGGATCCCTGCCCATCGTGGCTGGTTAAAGCAATGAGGTGCGGACCCCCCTGAGGGAGATTATCAACTTGTCCCTCTCAACGGGGACCTTCCCAGGGGGATTGAAGGAGGCAGTAGTTCGCCCTCTTTTTAAAAAACCTTAGTTGGACCTGATGGCCCTTAATAACTACTGCTCAGTGTCTAATCTACCGTTCCTGGGCAAGGTGGTAGAGAGGGCAGTGGCAACACAACTTCAGGTTTTCCTGGATGAGGCCAAGATCCTGGATCCCTTCCAGTCCGGCTTTCGCCCTGTTCGTGGGACTGAGACGGTGCTGGTGACCCTGGTGGATGATCTTCAGAGACATCTGGATCGAGGCAGATCAGTGCTGCTGATTCTTCTAGATCTGTCAGCGGCATTCGATATGGTTGAACATGAGGTGTTAAACCACCGCTGGATATGGGGGCTTGCCTTGCAATGGCTGACCTTTCTCCAGGGTCGGGGACAGACAGTGGTGCTTGGGGGGGGAGCTGTCTCAACGGCCCCCACTGGAATTCTCTCCCCCATGTTGTTTATCTATATGCACCCCCTTGCCCAGGTTATCCGAGGGCATGGGCTGGGCTGTCACCAATATGCGGATGACACCCAGTTCTATCTACTGATGGACAGCTGCCCGGATGCAGCCCCATGTGAACTGGATGGGGTGTTACAGGCTGTGGCTGGATGGTTGCGACAGAGCCGACTGAAGCTAAATCCATCTAAGACGGAGGTCCTGTACCTGAGCCGCAGGGGGACTGAGTCAGAGAATCAGGCTCCCAACCTTCGATGAGGCTCCATGGGTGCCAACGTCAGGGGTGAAGAGTCTGGGGGTGTTCCTGGATGCCTCCCTCTCCATGGAGGCCCAAGTCACCGCCACTGCCAGGTCGGCCTTTTTTCATCTGAGACAGATCAGGTAGTTGGCCCCTTATCTCACCCCATGAGACCTAGCTGCAGTGACCCATGCAATGGTCACTTCCAGACTGGACTATTGTAACTCTCTCTACGTGGGGCTGCCCTTGACCCTGCTCCGAAAGTTACAGCTAGTGCAGAACGCCGCAGCACGGGTGTTGATAGCAACACCTCTGCGGGCTTGTATCCACCCAGTGCTGCATGAACTGCACTGACTGCCTATTGAATTCCGGATCCGTTTCAAGGTGCTGGTGCTTACCTTTAAAGCCCTATACAGCCAGGGGCCAGCATACCTTCGCCTCTCCCCTTTCGAGCCCCAGAGGACACTGAGGTCCATGAATCAACATCTTCTAGCAGTCCCCGACCCCAGGGACATCCGACTAGCCTCAACCAGGGTCGGGGCTTTTTCGGCCTTGGCCCCTACCTGGTGGAATGAGCTCCCCTACGAGGTCAGGGCCCTGCGGGATCTACTACAATTCCACAGGGCCTGCAAGACGGAGCTCTTCCACCGGGCTTTTGGTTGAGGCGGCGGACGTCCCTCTTCTTTCCTGGGTATCTCCCCCTTAGTGGCCTGGATTTTAACATCAGTACGGCTGAATCTGAATTGACATTGGTGGCCTGGGCTTTAACATCAATATTGTTGAATTGATATCAGAACTAGCTTGTTTGTTTTAATTGTTGTTCATTGTTGTTTTAATGATATTGTACTGAGATTGTTGTGAACTGCCCTGAGCCCATTTATGGGGAGGGTGGCATACAAATCAAATAAATAAATAAATAAAATATCGGGAGTGCACTGATCATGTACATTGGGAATAGTACTACCCCCAATCCTCTTAATGTTTGGTTGCCATGTTGGGTGGACAGGGACAACATGTGAATTTGCCATGTGCATAAAGCCTTGATACCCATGAACTCAAGCACTAAAAAAAAAAAAAATCCAGTGGTTCCCTTCACACGTACCAGTGATGTACATGCATCATAAATACAAGCAATGCCCATCTGCACACAACATGGTGACCATGTATCTCAAGAGGACATACTCACAATTTTAACATCTGAAATGGGCTTGTGACTAATAGTAAACTTGTGCTGATTGTGAAAGCAACTCACATGGTTTTGCTAATCAAATTGATCCTCACCCCCACCCTGGTGCCACTATGAGTAATTTAATGGAGAAAGCGTGGATGCTTTAGTACCAAATCAGATTCGCGCACAGCTGTCACATTGCTTTTGAGATCTGACTTTCCCATCTACTGCCTTCCAAACACCTTAGACATTCCAGACCAAAATTGAAGCCTCACACATTCCAGTGCCAATTTAAAAGCAATCCAAATATTTATGTCCTTAGATGCCAATTTAGGCATCCACGCTGCCAATGTCAGTCGAATGCCCTTATTACCCCACCCTGATTGCTCTACAGTTTAGATATACAATGTAGGTAAAGAAATGAGACACAAGATGCTAACATTTTTTGGATTGTGAAAAGAGTTTATAGAAACAAACAGCATCACGCCCCAAACATCAGATGGGGGGGAAGAAACCAACAAAACTTATTTGTCTTTCTAAACTAGCTTTATGCATAGGAAGTGTCCTCCGAAATTTCTCTTTACAAATCACTCTGAATTGCACTATATAAAGTATGCCCAAAATTTCATTCATGCTGCAAACCCTGCTACAGCCCTTCTGAGGTAGGCCTGAACCACTTCATAATGCAGATGGAAGAACACATAACTAGAACATGAAATAAAAAGCTCACTGCATATGGAAAGCTGGAACATCAGGAGTCTAACCTTGATTTCTCTTCCACATGCCTAGATTTCTATGTGCTTTGCCCCCTTCCAGCACAGGAAGTATTCCAGTGCAGGATTTCCCGGCTTGCATTTTGTAATGGTGGAACCTAAGCACTATAGCACATGTCTGCAATTCAGTTTGGTGGACTCAAATAAGCTTCAGACCAAGCTCTTAGGGGTCATAGGGTGAAGGGTCAGCCAATTTCCAACCACTCTTACCCACCCTATGTGGATGCTGGTATCCAGATTGACATCCTGCCCCAAAACTCTGGAACAAGGATTAAGTGCTGATTCACACTACCACTTTGAAGTGGTGGTGAGTTACATCAAGCAGCTGTAGTCTGGGGGAAAGGTGGAGGCTCCATCCTGGCACGTATGCCTGGCACCTGCTGCATTCCAGCCCCACCCACGTTTCAAAGGCTCCCCAGGATTTAAACATTCCAACACATGCTGAAGGTGGAATTCTGGAGTGCTTCTACTGACTTGTTTGTGTGAAGTGCACGCTGACAGCTGGAAGAACAGCAGCATAAAATTAACATGCTTTAAGCATCACTAAAAGACAATAAAAAAGGAAGGTGTTCATCACATGAAGCATGGTAAAAAGAGGGATTTGTTGGCACAAGGTATGGTGATGGCCACTAACAGATTTTTTTTAAGAGCGTGAAACAGGTTTGGGTCTTGTAGATCCAGTGTCTTGCACCAAGGGAAGACTCCTTCTGCCAGGGGAAAGCGCCTTCGCTAGCAGATCCACAGGATCCAACCCACACTCAGGAAGGGTCGGTCTGACTCCACCCCACCCTGCTGGAAACCTTCATGAATCATTCACTGGTGAGAGAAAACGCTGAACTAGATGGGCACTTGTCCTAATTCAACATGGCAGTGCTCTGTTTATTTTGAAAGCCAGCCGTTGAATATTCCCACCACACTTTTTTTTTTTAAATCCCTGCTTGCATAATAAATGCCCAAATTGCTGGTACAAGACTAGTCACCTTCATGCTAAAAATATTATCGGCCAGAGGAAGCGTCACCCCATTCAAACAGCTACAGAGAACTTCCCTTTAAGGCATATCCACATGGCAAGCTCCTGAATTGCCAGTTACCCATTTCAGCACACTATGGGAAGTGCAAGAATGGTCCCGAGGGGGGTGGGGGACAGGAACATTACCCTCTGGGACACCCAGCTTGAAGACAGCTGTCAAGGCACCACAGCTGCTCTGGATCTCTGCCGAGATCTCGTGTTCGAGTCCACACAGGTCAGGCGTGCCGAACTACCACCGTGTAGCGCCTACATGGAACAAGGGCAGCAGCGGCTCCAGAGGCCGTGGATGTCTCAAGGGCACCCCAAGACCGCCCCTGAACCCCTCGGCCATATTCCCTACACCTCTTTCACCACTTAGGAGAACAGAGGAAAGAAGGGTGAAGGATGGTGGAGGTTATGGGAATGATGTGCTCTCCCCAGGAACGTTCCCTTGCAGCAGGGAGGGGCCAGCCACCCAGACGCAAGAGTGCCCCGCCCACGCCCCTCTGTCCCAGCGTAGTCTCCTTGCCACTCTTCTCCTACTCAGGTCCCAGTAAGAGTCACGAAACTAAGATATCAACCCGCTCCCACAGGGAGAATATCCAGTCCCCAAATTACAACCATGTGGACGGGCCCAGGAAGATGACAATGAGGCAACTGGCAGATCAGCTCCCTGCATGACGGTGGTGGTGGTTGTTGTTTTTATTCAACTTTGTCATCCAGTTTGCGCTTCACTTTGGTGGTCATGTAGAGGGCTGTGAAGCTGCAGGACGCCACCACGAGAAGGCACAGGGCAGAGAAAACGGGGGCCAGGCCACTGTGCAGCCTAGTATAGATGGGTCGCCTCGTCTCATAATCCAGAAGCACTGCCTCCACCTGGGTAAGGGTGCAGAGCAGCAAGAAGACATGGAAGATCTGGTGCCCTTGCCCAACAAAATGGCACTTGCCGGGAAACCATTTCTCAGGGTACGGGTAGGCGAAAAAAAAGGCCCCAATCAGAAAAAAGAGCACGTGGCACTTGTGATACAAAACAGCCGGGTCTGCAAGCCGGGAAGAGGCATAAATGCGGTAAACCACTGGGCTGATGTCCAAAGCGTAAGCCATGGCTGAGGGCATTTCCTGGCACAGCCGGCCCTGCAGAGAGGAGAGCTGGGGGCACCTGTATTTGGCATAGCAGGACCCAGCACAGGAGAGCCAAGCTAGCAAGATCGCTCCTGGCACATAGAAGCTCACTACCCGGGCATGCCACTCTGGCTCAATGGCATAGTAGTAATGTACTAAGGCACTGCTATATTGGTAAGTGGCGACACCCACATAGTCCAAGAAGAAGAAGGCATAGTGCCAGAACTCTGATTTGGCTTGCAAGAGATGCGCCAGGGTGCTGAATGTTGAGTAGATGACAGAGGAGACGGCAATGATGAAGAGGGGCTGCGTGTGCGGATCGCCAAGGAAATCCACCACTTGGGAGAGCCGCCAGAACCTCACCAGCAGGATCATGGCGGCCACCAGGTGCGTCCAGACATTGACTGCCTCGTTGTGTTGCTGGAAGAGAGACAGGAAGTAGTACCTCCAGGTCCGGTTGACAGGGCGGTAGCCTGTGTGGATGTACGGTTTCCGGAAGAGGTGGGGCACATCCGACACCCCCACGGTGCAGGGTGAGGCAGGGAGGGCATTCTCCAGGAGCCGTGGGACCTTCCAGAGGTGCTGGACATTTATGAACAGATGACTGAGCTTCTCGGCCACAACTGTTGCCATGGCAGGAAGGCCAAGCCCTGCAGAACAAAACCCCCTTTGGGAAGAGAAGAGGGAGTTAGTCGGCATCAGGAACATTAAAGATGATTAAAGTGTCAGAGGTTGAAGCAGCAGCCATGGGGGCTTGTGTGTGTGTGAGAGAGAGACTGCAGTCAGGGAAGGCAACGCTCTGGCACAGAGCAGGGCTAGGCAACTGTCCCGGACCACAAAAAATGTCTGCAAAACAAAAGGGGACAAAGTGACAGAACTGCACTTGAAAAGAGGCAAGAACAAAAAGGAGCTATAACCCAAACAGCCAAAGGACCTTAAAAATGGTGTATTAACAATGACGTTAGCAAAACAATTAATTTAATCTAATTTTTGAATGCAGTTACAATGATCATCAACTGCAACCCAGCTAAAGTGGGCTGGATCCTATGACTCTGTTCTGCTCAGTTAGGTCCTATGAATCTCTTCTACTAAGTCTGGGGGAAAGACTTTACTTTGATGCAGAAAGCCTTTTTCCAGGGGAAAGAAGCCTCTCCCTGTTGGAGAACACTTGGGGGAAGGCAGTCATGGGATCCAACTCTGTATCAACTGTAAACATGGTGATGATATAAATTGACAATATATCATCATGATACGGCGCCCGGGCTATACTCATTTTGTACGTCTCCATCAGACCACTGCAGAAAAATTTGTAGATAATGAAGACTTCAGTGAGCATGTGTGCCATTAAACATTCTTAGTAAAACGAGCAGATGACTAAAGGCCTCAATAAGACAGAAATGGGGAAGCAGCCGTATCTTGGTGGAAATTTTGAAGTGGAGAAAGAGGAAGTGTTCTGTGGGCAGGTTTCGTCTGCCAAAATAGCTGCAGCTTCCAAAGTTTCTGCCAGGCAAGCCAGAACTAACACAACAAAGTGGGAACACAGTATGCAGATACTGGCAAAACAGGAAACTGTGCGTAATCTTATTACGTATGCCAACAACAAACGGATTTAGAAATTTGAAAAGTGTTATGCTATTGGTCTGAGATTGTGAGCTATATCTGAAAGTTTGGATACTCATTTCAGAATTGTGGCTGATTGCTGTGGAGTGCTGCTAGATTGAGAGAAGCAGTTCCGTCTTTTGAAGAAGCCTTGTGAAAACATGGTTAGTTTTAGCTAGCTTGCCCGTCATGTTGGGATTTGCTTTGCAACTAAAGAATCTTATTTACAAGCTAAAGAATCTTATTTACAAACTAATGAATCTTATTTACAAACTAAAGAATCTTATTTGGAAGACTGAAGCAGCGTGTTTTGGATTCAAGAATCGTCTCTATTTTCATCCATTGCACAGCCTTGGGATTTACTAATGAGTATGGAATTTACAAAACGCTAAGAAACATTTTCTGTGGACTGCTTTTGAAAATACTGCTCATAGTTGAGCCGATTTCTATGGACTTTGTTTGAAAATACTGCTGATAGGTGGCGCCGTTGAGAGTTATCTTATTCTACTTGTAAATAAACACACTTGGATATTTGGTTATTAATTCATCTTTAGTAACTGCTGGCTCATGTAATAAGATTACATAGACAAGCCAGAATGAGTAGGCATCTCAAATGGTATATCGAGGTCTTTGTCACCCTCACAACAATAGCCCTGTGAGGTAGGCAGCTTAGATTACATCAGTCTGTTAGCTGAAATCAAGACTTTCAAGGAATCAAAAAGGGTTCAGGCTGAAAGGAGCCATGGGGGGGGGGCGCTGTTGCCATCTGGACAAATGGATGCGAGGGCCTGATCCAGCAAGGCTGTTCTTATTATTCTTACCTTGCCTCCCTGTTCCACAGCCATACACATTTGCCCCCATGCACTTGAACTACACGTCACGAGAGACAGTAATTTTAAGTGAACTTTAAAGCCACCCCAAATGGCAAATACATTAGACAAGATGGGGGCTGGAGAGGCGACACGCAAATTCTTCCGAATTAAATCAATCAATGCAACTGTGGCATGTCTAGGATTGCCCCAGGCACAGAAGTTACAATTTACTGAATAGATTCAGGTGGGTAGCCATGTTGGTCTGAAGCAGCAGAACAAAGTTCGAGTGCAGAGCAACCAAGTTTTATTCAAGGTATAAGCTTTCGTGTGCACACACACTTCTTCAGATACATTGAAATGGAAGTTACCAGACTATACATATAGGTAGAGGGTGAGCAGCAAATTGACATACAACTTAGCACATGCAAGGACCAAATTGGAATAACACGCTAAGTTTATATGGTCACCATTTATTTGGGTTTAATTCCAAGGGGAAAACATAGTGAAGGAAATAAATATATCAAAATTGGAGGCTGATGGGCAGATGTACCCTTCTTAAGTGTTGAATGCTGAGAGTAATTAACTGAGACCCTGCTATCACGCTCCATCCATCACCTCTCAAGCGTGGAGGCAACAGTACAGCATCTTCTTCTTTAAGGTGATGCAATTGGCTGTGTAGTGTATCTCCCTTGTCCCCAGACCAGAGAAATACATTCCAGTCTTCCATTCCAAATTACATTACATTCTACTGTTCATAACACTACATTCTACTATTCCAATCTACTATTCTAAATAACAAATAAAACAAAATAAAGAGGATGTACAGCCCTTCTGGGGGATTGGTGAGAAGACAGATGGAAGGACTGAATGATATTAGCATACATAATGAGATAAGAAACCAATATCTGTATTAAGTCCTGAGGGCCTAGTTAATCTTGCATACCCATGGCAGGCTGGGATCCACCACACATGGGAGACTAGAGCTGTAAATCACAGCCCATTTAATTTTGGCATACTCCCATTCCATCATGAAAGGAATTAAAGGGACACAATCCAGCAGGGGCGTCTCCCAGGAAGCCTTGTGCCAATTATATGCCCAACAGAATCCTAGCCTTTGGTGCCCTGGGAAACAGTGCAGAAAACGGCACCCAGAACCACCAAAAAAAGGTGGGACTCTTTCTTTGCAAGGCGAGGCTAAAGCATTCTGGGTGTTTTAGTTTTGGGGGAAAGGTGACCACTATATTGATTATATGGAAGAGAGATTTATGAAACTATGAACAACAATGACAGGGCGAGAGAGGGACAGCATGGTATGGCTGGACTACAGTCTGGGAGACCTCAGTTCAGACCTCCACTCTGCTATGGAAGTTTGGTGGGTGACCTCCAGCCAGTCATATACTCTCAGCCTAATCTACCTCACAGGGGTGTTGTGATGATTAAATGGAAGAATGGGGAATGTTATAAACCACCCCAAGTTCCTTGGAGGATGGGCAGGACAGAAGGGCATTCAATAAGATCAATATAGACTATAGGTCACCCAATAAAACTGATCAGAAGGGGACTCAGAACAAACAAAAAGGAAACATTTATACAGCATGTGTGGTTTCATGGGCAACAGCCACTACATTTAGCTATGCCTATAGTCGTGATAAACAAGAACTAAACTTCCATGTTCAGAGACAGTATACCTGTGAGTATCAGAAGCTGAGAGAAACAACAGCTACCTGCTTGGCCACCGTTGGCAACAGATGGCCTGGATTAGCTATACCTTGGTCTGTCCCAGAAAGATTAATCGGGGATTGATAGCCTGCCTAACCTCTAGGCTTAGGGCAACTCACCCAAATATTTTAAATATAAAAATTTTGCACAGGGCAGAAACATACGTAAGAACATAAGAAGAGCCCTGCTGGATCAGACCAACAGTCCAGCTAGTCCAGCATCCTGTCTCACACAGTGGCCAACTAGTTCCTCCGGAGGGCCAATAACAGGACATCGAGGCCGAGGCCTTCCCCTGAGGTTGCCTCCTGGCTCTGGGATTCAGAAGTTTAGTGCCTCTGAATGTGGAGGTTCCCCTCAGCCACCATGGCTAGTAGCCATTGATAGATTTGTCCTCCATGAATCTATCTAATCCCCTTTTAAAGCTGTTTGTTCCTGTGGCCATCTCTTCATCCTCTGGCAGCAAATTCCACATTTTAATCACTCTCTGTGTAAAATAGTATTTCCTTTTGTCCGTCCTGAACCCACTGCCCATCAGTTTCACTGGATGCCCTTGAGTTTCAGTATTTTGGGAGGGGGAGAAAAAAAAATCTCTTTGTCGACTCTCTCCATCCCATGCATAATTTTTATAAACCTCTATCATGTCCCCCCTTAGTCGTATCTTTTCTAAACTAAAAAATCCCAGACTCATTAGCCTTTCCTCATAGGGAAGGTGCTTAAACCCCCTAATAATCTTGGTTGCCCTCCCTCTGTACTTTTTCCAGCTCTGCAGTGTCCTTTTGGAAACACAGTGACCAGAACTGTACACAGTATTCCAAATGAGGCCGCACCACAGATCTATACAGGGGCATTACAATTATCTGCTGTTTTAGTCTCAGTCCCTTTCCTAATAATCCCTAACCCTAACCCTAACCCTAAATTTGCCTTTTTCACCGCTGCAGCACACTGGGTTGACACGTTCCACAAGGACCCCAAGATCTTTTCCCCTCTCAGTCTCAGCAGGTTCAGACCCCATCAGCCTATACTTGAAGTTGGGATTATTTTATCCCTATATGCAACACCTTACACTTTCCAACACTGAACTTCCATTTGCCACATTGTCACCCACTCATTCAGTTTATGGAGGTCCTCTTGGAGCTCTTGACAACCAGCCTTGGATTTCACCATCCTGAATAATTTGGTGCCATCTGCAAACTTGGCCACTACACTACTCACACCTATTTCCAGCTAACCGATGACTAAATTAAATAGTACTGGCCCCAATACCGATCCTTGTGCGGCCCCCACTGCTTACTTCCCTCCACGGTGAGAACTGTCCATTAATTCCTACTCTTTGCTTCCGGTCATTTAACCAGTTTTTAATCCATAAGAGAACCCGTCCTCTTATCTGATGACTGTTAAATTTACTCAGGAGTCTTTGGTGAGGTACCTTGTCAAAAGCCTTTTGAAAGTCCAGGTACATAATGTCTGTGCGCGCGCACACACACACACACACACACACACACACAGAGAGAATTCAGTTGGAAACTTTCCAAAAAAG